ATTATCAATGATGGACATCTCATGTATTTATTATAAGACACAGTTTTTAAGGTTGTATTAAATTGGACATTTCAAATATATAAATATTATATATATGCCAAAAAATATATATTTAAACATCTAAAATGTATATTTAAACTGAAATAAGTTGAAAATACAATATATTCCAAATATATATTTATGGTTACTGGTTAGTCACTTCAAGTCATATCAAATATATATTTTATGATCTGAGCTAAAAACTTTAGAATAGTGGATATCGAGATCAATGCTTGATCTCCCCTTTTTCTTAATCTCCAGATTAATTAAACGATCGGGATCAAGGATATCCCATTTAAAAGTCCCAGCTCAGATTACATATTGTCCAGGTGTTTGGTTGAGAGTAGAGAGGGATTCTGCGTGAATGAATGAATGAAGGTTTACTATATCCCTGTACTATGGTTATACCTTGAGTAACTGTTAAAACCAGTATTGGAGAAGAGAAGGTGCCAAGATCCTTCCACTGAAGGAAGCAACAAATACGGGATCAGGGGATGTATTCAGATCAATAAAAAATCCATTTCCGAAAATTTGAAAATAAAAAATATTTAATTTTTACAATTTGTTCATTATGTACCCCCCCCCCCTCAACCACCCCTCCACCCTTCCAATATTAGAATTTGTATGATTCATGCCTGTTTTAGGTTGTGGTCTAGCTAGCTATAGGCCTAGCCCATAACCTAGGCCTGACCCCTTCTTTATGTAATACTGGAAGTATTTTGGGGTAAAATCCACCAATATTTAATTAAATCACCTTCAAGCTTGTAAACCTACTCGGATGCAGTGACGGCTTTAGAGATCCATTAAATTTCTTTCTAGATTACTGCAGAAACAGTTGAAATAGGCGTATTTAAGATTTGGGTATTTATAGAATTACCAATAACGTAGTTAGGCTATCTCCACACATGTTTATAAGTTTAATGTACGTATTAAAAAGGGTTTAAGCAAACGATGCTACATATTCAATTGAAACACAGTTAAATGAATAATGGGTTTTATGTAAAAGTTTTCAAACATAGATAGATAATAATGTATGTACAATGTACTGCAAGTTTACAGAATATCATGTAACCCGATATTTATTACAAATACATGTATCAATAAATTTGTTTTATAAAATCTAGAGAAAAATAAATTGTTAAAAACTTCCAAGCTTGCATATTTTTTGGCTTCTTAAACATAGGTTTAGATTAAGGTTATACATTAAATAATAGTTGGTTTATTAAATATGTCGGTATTGCCCCCAGTCTGCTTTATTCTTTTCAGACCAATGCTTTGTCTGTTCATCCTAGTACGGTCCTATTTAACCATCAGATTATCCTAACCTAGCTAACTCTAGAATATATCTAACTTAATGAAATATAGACAAGTCTAAAAGTTAGTCATCAAATTTTTAGACAGCCTCGAATTTATCGCCACGCTTTGGTCTTTAATTTTATCTCTTCGACTCATTTATACTTTTTTGTAGCCCTAGGTATATTCTTTGTAAAAATGCAACGCACATATTTTTGGGTGAAGTTTAGGAGGAGAAGTTGGCAAAATACTGCTTTATTTTTGCGTGAGCGTGTGAACATCTTGGTTTGCAGTGTTAAATATAGATATATCCAAGGTACTAATGCAAGGAAAGTTATTTCAGAGGTGTACGCATTTTTTGTACTGCAGTGTACTGTCTTTGGGCGGAAAAGTAAACACAAGACAGATTCCACAGCCTGACATGGAATACATTTTCACAAAAATAATCTATGAAATATTCTGGTCATAGGAAACTATTATGTGAATTATAAAAACTATCAAAATTGAATGCTTTTATCCTCCTCGGATTCTAAACGAACACTGATGCATCTATTCTTGTTTACATATTCCGCCCAGAGAGAACTGGTTTCAATATGTACGCAGAGTATAAACAAACGCAAATAACTTTCCCTTCAATTAGTACCATGGATATATTTAACTCTAGATATATCTTACTCTAGAAATATCTAACTCTCAATAAACCTAACTCTAAATAAATCTTACTCCAGAAATATCTAACTCTAGATATATCTTACTTTAGATATATATGATTCTAGATATACCTAACTCTAGATATATCTTACTTTAGATATATATAACTCTAGATATACCTAACTCTAGATATATCTTACTCTAGAAATATATACCTAACTCTAGATATACCTAACTCTAGAATATTATTATTCTTTTTTACATGAGATGATGAGAAAACAGTTGCTTTTAATTTTCTGATCCACCGCATCTCATTTTAGATTCCATCTTTTGTAGAGTTAAAATGTACAGGGAATAAAGATGTCATATATCATATCTCTTCGTCTTTTGCAGCCTCTTAAAGTTACTATAAGCGTAATTTCAAGTGACCCTCAATTTAAAGATGGCAATTCTTGAATTAGAAAGTTTTCCTGAACAGCTTTGTCTGATCAAGGATGAATTAATGTTTATAATATTGAAAACTGATTATTTTCCTGAACAGCTTTGTCTGATAAAGGATAAATTAATTTTCATAATATTGAAAACTGATTATTTTCCTGAACAGCTTTGTCTGATCAAGGATGAATTAATTTTCATAATATTGAAAACTGATTATTTTCCTGAACAGCTTTGTCTGATCAAGGATAAATTAATGTTTATAATATTGAAAACTGATTATTTTTAATGATGGTTTCTACAAAAGTGACCTACGCATTTCTACAGAAGGAAAAATTATATGAAATATCAGAATTAAAACATTTTAACTCGAGAAAAACGACGATTTCTTCCACATTAATGATAAGAAAAGGGTTTCACGAGCATCGTTATGAATCAGGCATTTGAGAGTTACTTGAAATTACGCTTACAGTCCCTTTAAAAGTAAAAACCATTGAATATTAAAAACGATGCTCATATCTAAATACATGTCAATATTCCATTTATATTCTTCTACATTCGGAGATATTAATTTCCGGTTTTCATCATATTCCTGCACTTCCTAAACACAATTCCAGGAATTCCAGGGGCAGTTGCAGCTAGGAATTCCAGAGACAGTGGCTAGGAATTTCAGAGGCAGTTTTAGGAATTCCAGGAGCAGTTGCTAGGAATTTCAGGGGCAGTTGTCATGTATTCTAGGAGAAGTTGCTAGGAATTCAAGGGGCAGTTGCTGGGGTAAAGGTAATGTTCATATAGATCCACAGACTGGTTTTAAAAAGTTGCAATACTTTGACTTTGAAGTGTCGCAACGCGTTGGTCTTTCATTGTACTTACTCACATATACTTTCTTGTAGCCCTGGACATGTTCATTTTAAACCTACGAAGAAATCCTTATAAACTTTAGATTTTAAAAAGAAATCGGAAAAATTTTCGTAAATTTTTGCATGAGAGCTTGAAATTCTAGTAATGCAGAGATGTTAACGCCTGATTCACAACGGATCCCTTGAAACCATTATCTGATCATTCAGGGGGAAGATATTGTCGTTTTCCTACAGTCACTTTTGTAGAGAACCCACAATTGAAAAATAAACAGTTTTCAAAATTATAAACATTGATATCTAATTCATTCTTGATTAGACAAAGTTTTTTAGGGTATCGTTGTGAATCGGGCATTGTCATCTTTGCATTAAAGGTGGGCTACTTACGTCGACTTTAAACATATTTATGAATTTATACTTTTCAGATGAAAAAGTTCTCATTTTCTTCTGCATATGGTTTTCTACAGGGTGTCCCAAAAAACATGGGAATTCAGTGATGAATTCGATATCGTCTTTGTTATGAATTAGCATTGTAATACCTAATTTCAAAAGCCATAATATTATTATTTCTGCTAAAGTTTATTTTATGAAAAGGGCAAAAGACTGTAAAGGTGTGTCTATAATGTCTCCGCAAGATGAATAGTAAAGACGGACAAGCTTACTCTGTTTGACTATTGTAATTTTCTTGTTTTATTAACCGTATGCAGTCAAAACATAAACAAACAAAATGTGAACATAGCAGATGAAACTCTTACAGATTACAGCTTTCTCGGTAGGTATCACTATACTAAATCAAAGAATTATTTGAAAAGACGATATCTAATTCGTCACTGAATTCCCATGTTTATTGGGACACCCTGTATATCCTATAAAGTATCTCGAGTTTCCCCAGCTCTAATTCTTTGCTTTCTCTGAATAAAAAGTAACATTTTCTGATTATATTTATATTCAACAAAATAAAATGGTCTAGGACGGATGGAAGACAAGTGTCTCGAACACTAAATATAAATAAATATATAAATATCCGTCTTGAACACACATTACAGGATCTCAGCTACAGGGGGGGCTGAAAAAAAAGTCTGAAAAGGGTATTGAAATAGTTGTAATGTTTTGTTACAATATTTGGGATGATATTTTAAAATTCTAAGTTGCTGACTTAAAAAAAAACTTCAATACATAGAAGAGACTTTGTTCAGAGACACCCTGTATATATTCTTGCTCAAATATTATCTGGATTTGTTCAGAGACACCCTGTATATATTCTTGCTCAAATATTATCTGGATTTTTTATAAATCCTAAATCAATATCAACTCTGCAAGGTTTAAAGAAAAGGTCACGGAAAAAAATATTTTTAAATCCTGTTAAATACTGTAGACGTATTTTAAAGTGACTCTCCAATTAGTTGTGGAGTGGGAATGTCCGATTGGCGTTGGAACCCTGAAAACAACTTTTTCTGATCAAGAAAGAATAAGAGTTTTATGATTTCCATTTAAAAAAATTATTTTTAATTGTAGTTCCTCAATAAAGTGACATGAAGAATTCTTGCTACAGAAACAATGGAGGAAATTGTCAGAATAAAACATGTTAGATAAAGATTTTTATGGTACTGTTGTGAAAGTCCCTTTAATTCCCTGAAGATAAGATACAACTGAACAGTCCCTTTAATTCCCTGAACATAAGATACAACTGAACAATATATTTATCCTTGAATCTAATGAGCAGTCTTTACATCTTTAAAATCTATATTTAAGTTTTCAACCATTAATATATCACATTCCTTAAGTTTTTTTTTGTAAAGGGAGAATTCGCGAAAGTGAAAGAGGGTATGAACAAAAATAAATCATAATTCACTTTACTTTACTTTACCCTTTTTGGAATTTACATGAACGCTCCCCTAAAACCAAATATTATCTTAAACCGAGTGTATTTGGAATTAAAGAGGGAGAAATATTCTACTTTTTGTTAAAAGTAAGTTCTCTCTTTTCAGGTTTCTTCATATAAAATGTATGAAAATGTCACATTCAATGAAAATGAATATTTTCCCGTGGGATTATAGAATAAAATACTCTGTAAATTTCAGGATATTTTACATACATTTACATAATAAATACCTCCCCCCCCCCTCCCACGGTTTTCTTTTTTCGTCTTCATCAATGTTTACATATAAATCTTATTGTTATAGTATCTATTGCACCCTGAGTAGAGTTAATCAATATTCAGTTTCAAAAACTCGTTTTCTGTTCGCCACCATTCCTGTTAGAGGAGATTTTAATGGTTCCTCGCTCTCACAAGGTTTAGGAGTAGAGAAGGATCGGGTTGAGTAGAGTCTGGGACAGCTCGGAGATCTTGTTAATCTTGGTGCTCTGGTCTCCTCGTCCTGCCAACCGTCTCCTCCGGTAACCGAGAGGATCTCACGTTTAATTTCGTCCCGGTCCTCCTGATACTCAGACTGTAGAGCTCCGATACATTCCTTATTTCGGAGCTCGGAGAGAAATTCTTTTTTAAACTTCTCAACCTCTTTCTGTACCTCAGATTCATGAGCTTTACGCATAGCGTCAAGGGCGGAGAGAGTTGCTTTTGTTTCCTCTGCTAGTGCTTGTTCTTTCTCTTTCTTTAACGAATCCTTCTCTTTAAGATGCTGCTGCTGTAAATCACCAAGAAGGTTCTCGTAAGATTTCTCCATGGCCGTCATCGACTTTTCACACCAAACCCTCAAGTCCTGATATTTATCATCCTGACTGGATTCTGTTTTCTTTTCCGAGAGCGCAGCGCTCAACCTTGCCTTCTTGTTTTCGTTTTCTCTCCTGATAGATCTAAGGTTTGACTCGAGTGTGTTTCCAGACTGTCCGGTGAGACTAAGCCTGGGCTTGGCTCCTCTAGGTCTACTCTGAGTCTGACGATATGTGTTGAGAACCAGCATAAACTCGTTACATTCTTTATTCATGCTCATCGGATCAAACAGTGCAAAATCTTCCAAGGACTCCGGTTCCCCGTCTTCAGACATGTCTCCTTCATCCTTCTCCTCCAGTCCTAGGATTGTATTCAGTATTGTTATCTGAGCTTCGGTCACACATTTTTGCGCAATCATGCTTGCAACCTTAAACATGCACGTGTTCAAATCCTCTGCATCACTGGGCACTAGACTGTCAACTCCGGTATCCCCTTCCTCAATCTTATGATGCAGAGCAGCGGAGAAATCCTGTATTTCTTGATCTATGAGTATTCTAGTCACTTCGGTTTGTGACTGCAGTGCCTCTTCTCGGTTAGCCATAAGATTAACCCGCTCCGGGTTGTTATCCGACTCCGTGTCCGAACAGATTAGATAGATATTAACCAAACTAGTTTGAAACTCTCTCATGCGTTCGTCTTCCTCAATCATATTGTACACCTCGCTCCTAATCCCGTCTAGGATAATATCCTTCTCTATAGCCTGGGATGATATTGAATCCAGGAAACTATAAAGGAGCTGGTTGGTGGCTGCACCTATCCTGGAGAACAATACCTGCGCTTCACGTTTTAATCTTCTAAACATGGCAGTCAAAGCGTCGGAACTCAATGAAACGGATGACAGAGCTTTCAGTTTCTTGCACGTGTAGGATGACAATGGAACAAACTGTTTGGATTCCAGGACCTTTAGGAGAAGACTTTTTGTAACATCATTGTAGTCTTTCAGGGTCTGTTCCCTATTGCCTGCAAAAACTCTGGTTTGAATGGTTGATATTTGCTGCTGAAGATCCATAAGAAGATAAGCCTGAAGACTTGTTTCCTGTGTCTTAATAATCTGTGCCACCTCAGCACCATTACTGAACCCTGCTCCGATATCAAAGAACGAAGAAATCTTGGTTCCTGCTATTTCAGTTCCAGAGAACTCTTTTCTCAACTCGTATGCGTCCTCAACACTACGATATAGGAAGGACATCACGGTGTCGAAGTGACTAGAAATAGAATCAGAGTTTGGAAATCCTGGTTCATCTCCGTATATACCCGGGAGCTCAGATCCAGTGATCACGGACTCCAGGGTATTGAGGAGATCCTTGAGCTCAACTGGGAGAGAGTTATCATCCTCCATCTCCTCCCTGGTCCTGGAGATAATGGAGATCATCTGCTTCCTCAGGTTCTCCAGGTATAGATGACTGTTGTCTCCATGCGTGGATAATCTTCTGTTAACTTCTGTCAGAGTCTTTTCAGTTCGTTTTAACCGCTCGACGAACGATATTTCCATATTTTCACAACTTCTCCGTCTTGCTCTGGAAGCTTTTGTAGATGTTTCATAACTTTTCTTCTTATTGTCTCTGATTATCTCTTTGCCTTTCATAAATCCATCTATACAGTTCAAACTTAATTCAATATCGTCCAATAGATATTCAGCTTCACGGTGGACGATCAATTCGTCCGGACGTACCCCGGTAGACGATCGTCGTCTTTCCTTTCCTTCCGGTCCTTTCAGCTTAAGTTTTAGATTTCTTACTTGTCGCTCCGAGGAGAGATATTTTGAGGTTAAATCCTCGATTTTGTTACTTAACATCTTCATTTCTTCGCCATACTGGATTTCTTTATTTTTCAGGTTCTGGCTAATTTGGAGGTTTTTAATTTCCGCGGCATCTGTGTTACTCTGGGCTTGCTTCACACTGGCCTTAAGAGCCTTGATTTCAGATATAGCTTTGTTGAATCTATTTACAACATCATTGTAGCAAATCACGAGTTTATCGTGCTCCATGTTCGAGATCTGGCTCACGTCGCTTAGAGGAGCCATCAGCTCTGTAAGAGAATCCATTCGAACCATCCGCAACTGTTTCTTATTAAGGTTGTCTCTGGAGGAGCACAAACTTCGACTTCGTTCTGCATCTTTCTCAGTCGCTTCGTTGAATCCGATCAGTTTAGTGGTTAGGATCTCAACCTCACCTCTGGTTCTTGCAAGTTCACTTTCAAGTTCAGCCTTTTCCAGTTCAACCTTACTTCTCTCCGATATCTCTTGTCGGAGTCGAACTATTTCAGCATCTTTATTCTTCTCCTCTTTGCACTTGTCTACATCTGTTTTATCAATATATTCCTCAAGTTCCTTTATATTCTCCTTCATTCTGTGGATCTCATTTTCATATTCTTTCGCCAAGGTTTTGTTTTCTCTCATAAGAGTATCATTTTGACATACTAGTTGATTTATCCTGGTTTCACTCTCTTGCAGCTGATGGGACAGGTCAGAGATAAGATGACCCTTCTGCTCAGCCTCACTGTTTGTCTCCACCAGGTTTTGCAGCTCGTGCTCCATCTCCTTCAACTTGTTCCCCCAGAGAACACGCTCCTTCTGGTGCTGAGTTTGAAGGCTGTCATATAAGGTTTTCCAATTTGGTCCGGAGTTAATCCGTTCTATCTTTTCCATCTTCTGTCTTAGGGTTTTATTCTCCGCGACCTGAGCTTTGTATTGACTACTCAGATCACTGAACTCTCGAACCTTCTCGTTTAAACTTGTAATCTCTTTAGATTGTTCTCGAAGAGACTTCTCCGCATTTGTTGACTTGATTTGCAGCAAAGAGTTTTCCTGTTCCAAATCCTGAACCTTCTTTCCTAGCTCCGTGTTCCGAACCTGCTCTGTGTTCAGGTTCTTCAAGGTTGCGTCCATGTCAGCGTTCATATTGTCCAACTTGGTTCGTAAGTTATTGATCTCTATGGTTTGGCGGGCCAGGAGTAGGTTTGTATCCCGCAGGGCTGGTTGAATATTTCTAGATTCAGATTCAGGTTCGACATTGCTCTGATTGGTAGGATCCTTCAAAAAGAAATCTGTCTGGGCAGATTCCAGGTTTTTAGAGATAGAGTTGCCAAGAATGGGAGAGTCCCTCAAACCCTGCAGGTCCTCGGTCGGTTTAATATTTGAAATATCTCGTTCCGGGATCATTTTTAGATCTTCGTCACTTAACATGTTTCTATTTTCCTTATCAGCCGAGCTACTGGAGATAGGGCTCATGGAGTGCATGTTCTTCAAAGACATGGTTCGTCCCGTCCTGCTTTTCTCTTTCTTCAACCTCGAGGTCGGGGTTCGATTTAACGGAGGAGATATCGGAGCACCATGTTCGGGTTTAATCCGTCCCGTCCCCTCGGACGGAGGAGGGGTGGATAAAGAAATACTATCCGCTGTATTTCTCCGAGATATTTTTATATCTGTCTCGAGGATATCACGTCGCAGAACCTTGGGCGTATCCGACTCCGGGAGCGTGTTAAGATTGGACGCAGTCTTGAGGGCGTTTATCCAGTTGTTCCGTATACCATGAGTAACTGCTGAGAGGATGTAATCTCTATCGTCTAGGGTAGAGATAACAAAACCATAGTTTCTCTGCACATCCCGCTCTTCCACCTGGAAAACAAAAGACAACTGAATAGGAGCAGCGTATATAATTCGTGGGAATATTTACTATTATACCGTAAACCCGGAGAAATCTTAAAACAGGTGGTTCACCCNCCATATTTAGAGGGTTACTTAGCTCAGTAAAACATGAAAATATGCTACGCAACTAAAACACGAGAAAATAATGAAAGATTTAATTTTCAAGGTTAATAAAAACCTTTGTGTGTAAATTTTATTTTATTAGCATCTAAAACGTAATTTTATCACCAGAGCATATAACCGATCAAATCCAGAATATAACACTAGGAATTACTCATGTGATTTATTACATCGTGAAATTAAAGGGTCTGTGTTGACATAATTTCATATTCACAACGATACTCTTTAAACCTGCCTCATGGCTAAATTAGGGCAAATAGCCTTGTTTTTCTATTTTAAGATTCAATTCAAGTTCCTAAGAATGTTAGATATCTCTAGATTTTGAGTAAAGTATTTAATTATGGTATAAGTCCCTTTAAGACTAAGAATGTTGGATATCTCTGAATACTGAGTAAAGTATTTAATTATGGTATACGTCCCTTTAAGACTTAGAATGTTGGACATCTCTGAATATTGAGTAAAGGATTTAATTATGGTATAAGTCCCTTTAAGACTAAGAATGGATATCTCTGAATACTGAGTAAAGTATTTAATTATGGTATACGTCCCTTTAAGACTTAGAATGTTGGACATCTCTGAATATTGAGTAAAGGATTTAATTATGGTATAAGTCCCTTTAAGACTAAGAATGTTGGATATCTCAAGATATTAAGTGAAGTATATAATTATGGTATAAGTCCTTTTAAGACTAAGAATTTTGGATATCTCAAGATATTGAGTAAAGTATATAATTATGGTTTCAGTCCCTTTAAAACTAAGAATTTTGGATATTTCTAGATGTTGAGTAAAAAATTCAATTATAAAAAGTCCCTTTAAGACAAAGAATGTTGGATATTTCTAGATTTTGAGTAAAGTGTTTAATTATGGTATAAGTCCCTTTAAGACAAAGAATGTTAGAATCTCTAGATTTTGAGTAAAGTATATAATTATGGTATAAGTCCCTTTAAGACAAAGAATGTTGGATATCTCTAGATATTAAGTAAAGTGTTTAATTATGGTATAAGTCCCTTTAAGACTAAGAATGTTGGATATCTCAAGATATTAAGTAAAGTGTTTAATTATGGTATAAGTCCCTTTAAGACTAAGAATGTTGGATATCTCAAGATATTGAGTAAAGGATTGAATTATAGTATAAGTCCCTTTAAGACTAAGAATTTTGGATATTTCTAGAAATTGAGTAAAGGATTTAATTATGGTATAAGTCCCTTTAAGACTAAGAATGTTGGATATCTCAAGATATTGAGTAAAGGATTGAATTATAGTATAAGTCCCTTTAAGACTAAGAATTTTGGATATTTCTAGATATTAAGTAAAGTGTTTAATTATGGTATAAGTCCCTTTAAGACTAAGAATGTTGGATATTTCTAGATGTTAAGTAAAGATTATAAATAAACAACTTGATATTACACAACTGCACGTAATTACCAGAAGGTATAGGGTATCAATGATACTGAGCTATATATACAGGGTGTCCTAAAAACCTGACATCTTTTGAAAACAAAACAAAAACAACATATTTTCCTAATTCTGGGATTTACAAAATCTTCTATCAGAAAATTAAGCGCGAAATATTTGTAAGGCACAGTTGTAGGTATCCTATATTTTCAGATTTTTTTGGACACCCTGTACTTATATTTTATATAATTTTTTTATATTATTTTATATATATTTTCAGTGTAAGTTATTGCAGAGTGTACTATAACATATATAATATATATAAAATATGTAATATATAATATCTATATAGACGTGTCTTCAGAGCCTATGTTTCTTACTACAAGGAAATCATAATACACAATATATAAATACAGTTTAGAACATTTTCTTCGTCAAACATTATTTTTAAAAACTTCACAGATTTTCACGGTTTAATTTGTTCATTTTCAAATTTTCAAAATCTAGATTTCACGTGTTATTAATTAGGTTTTTAAAAACGCCTGATTAAAATACAGTTTGATTTACTTTAAGGCACTGAGTTGGAAAATTCGATTGTTTACATTTTTTCGTTAAACAACGTGCAATGGACCTTTTATATCTTAAACATTTTTAAAGTCTAAAATAGAAACTACGAAAACTCTAAATTTTATGGAGGGAAATGGGATTGATTGTGAAGGCTTTCTAAACCTAGACATTTGAATCACCGTGAAACATATAAGAGGACAACATTTTTATTCATAAATTTCTCAGTTGAATTCGGAAAAACATATGTTGTTAAAGGGACTATTTTAAGGTAAGGGACCCTCCCTTTATAAAGAGTGTAATATCCGATTCACAATGGTACCCTTTAAAACTACGGAGATATTCTTATTTTTCTAGCTGAAAACGGAAACTTTGTCATTGAGTGTACATCCGTTATAATGTGTTATACTGTACACTCGAGTTTCCTTGCAATCAATTTTAAGCTTGAAAAACAAGGCTTTCTCTGTCGACGATGTTCAGTCAAATGTTTAGAGGGTACTGGGTACTGTTGTGAATCGAACCACTCGTTAAATGGAAAGTCACTTTACCAATAACGTGTACAGTCTCTTTAAGTGTGTATACAATATACCAAAGTTTACCTAAATTACACAAACATTTTCCCGCTCAACAAATATGGCAACATTAATTCACAAAGAACAAACAGACACCATGCATAGGACACCATGCATAGGACAACATTTAATAAGGTTTACAGGAACTTTTACATTAATCTTACAGAACCCGATTCACAACGATATCTTTACGTCTTTGTATAATTTCCAGATTTTATGATTTTAAGTTCTAGATGTTTAAGATTTCTTGCTTGAGATTGGTTTAAATAATATTTAAAGCTGAGAAACCTCGAGTTTAGACGGTTTAAATACTAAAATAATGTCAGCTAGCAAGAAATCTACCAAATAAGTTGATATCTTTCGGAATAAAAGTTGAAAGTTTTAAAATCCACCACATCTTTGTCAAGAAATCCGCAGATTTTATCGTGTTACAGCGAGTCCAGGGTTAATATTATTCATTTATGAGAAGCTCAATTCTCATCTTAAACATTAAGATTTATAACCCTGTCCGATAACTGTTCTTGTCCCCCCCCCCTTCTCCTCTTCCCTCCTCCATACAACCTATTTCATCTGAGCTCCACCCCCTACCCACCCTATGCCCAAATGTAAGTATTATTAGAACCCAGATTTAGAGCTAACACCGTCCAGATGTATTATCACAAATCTAATATTAGTCAGGAGCTTCAAATCTGACAAGGGAGGTTTAAAGTCAGATATATAAACCTGAACCTAATTTACTAAATCTTAACAAGAGTCAGGAGTCTTAAACCTGGCAAGGGAGGTTTAAAGTCAGATATATAAACCTAAACCTGATTTACTCAATCTTGAATAGAGTCAGGAGTCTTAAACCTGGCAAGGGAGGTTTAAAGTCAGATATATAAACCTAAACCTGATTTACTCAATCTTGAATAGAGTCAGGAGTCTTAAACCTGGCAAGGGAGGTTTAAAGTCAGATATATAAACCTGAACCTGATTTACTAAATCTTAACAAGAGTCAGGAGTCTTAAACCTAGCAAGGGAGGTTTAAAATCAGAGATATAAGCCTAAACCTGATTTACTAAATCTTAAACAGAGACAGGAGTCTTAAACCTGGCAAGGGAGGTTTAAAGTCAGAGATATAAACCTAAACCTGATTTACTAAATCTTAAACAGGAGTCAGGAGTCTTAAACAGAGGTTCAAAATCAGACATATAAACCTATTAAACCTAACACGATGATGTAAATAAATCTTAAACTTTATCTAAAGTAATCTTAAACCTAATATTAAACCTATTTCAATGTTTAAAAAGTTAAGCCTGAACCCAAACTGGCCTTATCAAACCTGGCAAACCTCCCTAAATCCTTGATTCTACCATTTGAATTAAGCAAAATCAGAGAACCATGAAAATACCATGAAATGCTTGTTAAAAGTACAAAGCAACAGAAACAATTCATCAAACAAAAGAAAGAGAGTCCGAAAGAGAATTGAAAACAAAAGATTTTAAGTCATCGTCGTATAAATCAATACAATGAAGACGACTTTCTATTCAAATAATAAACATTGAAACAAAAAGAGGCGGTCAATTATCAGCTTCTCTTTGGTTACTTGTAAACTTGTAATTTGGTAAAAGCTTGTTTAGAAGCAAAAATTGAACATAAAAGCCGTCTCGTCTTCATTGTAGTGATATAAACGCCAACCACTGTACAAAATAAGCGAAGGAAAGATGAAAAATAACAAAAGAATTGTACAAGCGGAGTGGAGAATAAAGAAAACATGTTCACCCCCCGGCTCAAACCAAAATTAAATTGTTTTGACCTTTCAAATCTTGGACAGCGTACGGATGGTGCACAAAGGCACTAAAATGTAGAAAATAAATATTTTATCAGACATTTACAGATACTATATAGAAATTGTAACTTTTGGAGTGAAAAATAAGATTCTTCAAATAAATAATCAATATGTATTTGCAACTTGATGATGTAAACCTTTGATATTTGACAATTTAATCTTGCAGAGTCTATAGTTTTATATATAATGGTCTACAGCATTTGATGTAAAAATATGAGGATTAAAAAAGTTCGAGCCAAGTTATCATTTCCTTTGAAATGTTTAAAGCGTATTCAAATTTTCTAAATTTATTTATAAGTTGTTTCTCCTGTATACAATAGCCACCCTCCTAACTCCAAACTGTATAATTAAAACCACCCCTCCCTTTCTTAATGGGGTTGAACACGTAATTTCAAGTGAGTCTCCAAAATCCTAACCCCCCCCCCCATCTCGCCCAAACAAAGTTTTTGTACTTTTATCCGTTACATAAATTAAAAACAATAAAAAAAAACACTTCAAAAATACTTCTGAAAAAAAATTCATTTTCATGAAAGGAATTTGTAAAATGTATGATTTAGAAATAAAAAAAATATTTAATGTAACTTGTCTTTAGTTTGTGTGTATTATGGAAACCTAATCTAGAAAGTTAATAACAAATTTCCATTTCTGGTCAGTTTACAGTTTACACCATTTATACAAATATTATAATATATTTAAATATACATATATTACACATATAAATATACATACATTATTTATGTACATTTCATAGTGAAGAATCTCCTGTATTTAGTATAGAACATTTCCATTTATGGTCACTAACGAGAGAATTATAAATTCGGTTCAATTTTAGCAACATTTGGTGTTAATTACAAGAGCTAACACACACCACGGAGTAAACAGACAATCCAAACCCAACCAACAACAGGCAGGTTTTAGTGCTCTCAGGGTACACATTAGACCAGTATCAGGGTAAACTTTATACCATGGTATCAGGGAACACTTGCTCAGGGTACAGTATCAGGGTAAACCTTAGACCAGTATCAGGGTACACCTTAGACCAGTATCAGAGTACACTTTAGACCAGTATCAGAGTAAACTTCAGACCAGTCTCAGAGTACACATTAGACCAGTCTCAGGAAACATTTTAGACCAGGCTCAGGGTACTCCTTAGACCAGGGTACACCTTTGACCAGTATCAGGGTACACCTTAAAGACCTGTATCAGGTACACCTTAGACCATCACGGTACACTTTAGACCAGTATCAGGGTAAACTTCAGACCAGTATCTGGGTACACTTTAGACCAGTATTAGGTTACACTTTAAACCAGCTTCAGGGTACACTTTAGACCAGTCTCAGAGTACACTTTAAACCAATACCCTGGCACAGGCCTTAGACCAGTATCCTGGTACATCTTAGACCAGTATCCTTGTACATCTTAGACCAGTATCATGGTACAGCTTAGACCAGTCTCAGGAAATACTGTACACCAGGCTCAGGGTAAACTTTAGACCAGGGTTTACTTTTGACCAGGTTCACCTTAGACCAGTATCAGGGTACACCATAGACCAGTGAAGGATGAATAATATCCTAACCTTCAGGAAATTGGTTTGATTGAAGCTGCATTCAAGTGTATGAACTAGGCCAATTTACATTCTATCATTTAGGATTAAAACCTTGATAGTTATTGCAGTTTGGTTTGAATATAAAAAATATATTCTATATATTGCAGATTGGTTTAAATATATCTATATAAAATATATTCTATATATTGCAGTTTGGTTTTAATATATTTAAAATATATACTATACATTGCAGATTGGTTAAAAAATAGCTATATAAAATACATTCTATATGATGCAGTTTGGTTTTAATTTATTTAAAATATATACTATACATTGCTGTCTAGGGAACTATAGAAAGAGTTTTTTTTTACAACAATCACTTTTAATCTTGTTTTTTTGGTCCAACCGATGTAACCCACTATCTCAAGCATGATAAATGTTTTTGATATCAAATCCGATTTTATCTAAGCCTACATGGTTCAGATGTGCATATCCTTTATCCTGTATCCTACTCCTCCTACCCTTTCCTGCAATTCTCAACAATATTTATGACAGGGTTAATATTTTCTACTAAAAAAATAAACATCCCCCCCCCCATATCTCTCTGTATATCTCTCTACAAGAGGGCGCATACAGGATTTTTTTCAGGAGGGACATTCTTGCTTTCAAGGGGAAGGCTGACCTCCCCCCCTCTCCGCATGTATACGCCCCTTTTATCCTTCTAGGAAGAGGAAGAACGCCCTTCATTCAAGAAATATCATTTTAAACCCGTCATTTGTGACATTCAAGCAAGCGGAAAACATATTGATGACTTAAACAGAGACAGGAGTCTTAAACCTGGCAAGGGAGGTTTAAAGTCAGAGATATAAACCTAAACCTGATTTACTAAATCTNGGGGGTTCATACATTTTACATTCGCGTATTTGGAGGACTGCTTAAACCCTGCCTTCCAAGCTTGATCAGGTAATTTCCAACCTTTGTAAAAATTGCGCAGTGTACACACACACTATTCCCACACCCTAAATCTATCAGACCTTGGTCTAATTTACGCGTGTGTAATATATCTGTATCTATTCATTATAAAAAGAAAGATTATATATATTATATATTAACATTTTATATAATATAGATTAACAGTACATTACAGTTATATTAATAATAGATAAATAGATGATTGAAAAACAACGAGATAAAGGTTTATCCATATATGGATTCTAATTGACGAGACCTTATAGGATTGGATTTTGTGACAAAGATAGGGATTTAAAATATTTAAGCTAGGATCAAATATAAAATACAGGGTGAATAAAAATACGTGAATAGATCATTTTCAATAGACACTTTTTTCATCAAGGAATTTAACTTTTTATACCCTTTTCTTTGAAATCTGATGGTTTAAAACTTCCGACTTCCAACTTAGAATATTTGATTAAATATAATTTAAAGTTTAAAATATCAAAAGTCTACTGTATCGGGTCTAAAAAATAAAGGAATTAAAATTTTGAAGATGTGAAGTTTGTGTAAGAACTTCTAAAGTTGGAAATAAGAAATAAGATGTGAGGTTTGAGTAAGATATTCTAAAGTTGGAAATAAAAATGTAAGATGTAGAGTTTGAATAAGATATTCTAAAGTTATAAATAAGATGTAAGATGTGAGGTTTGAGTAAGATATTCTAAAGTTGGAAAATAAGATGTGAGATGTGAAATTTGAGTAAGATATTCTAAAGTTGGAAATAAGATGTAAAATGTGAAGTTTGAGTAAGATATTCTAAAGTTAGAAATAAAATGTATGATGAAAAATTTGAGTAAGATATTCTAAAGTTGGAAAATAAGATGTAAAATGTGAAGTTTGAGTAAGATATTCTAAAGATTTACCGACAAAGGGTCAAACGACCCAGGGTCAAACGACACAGGGTCAAACGACACAGGGTCAAACGACACAGGGTCAAACGACAAGGGGTCAAAAACATGATTCAAATCAAAAAATGTTTTTATCATTTTGACCTTTTGTCGTTTGACCCTTTGTCGCACTTTTGACCCTTTGTCGTTTGACCCAGTGTCGTTTGACCCTGTGTCGTTTGACCCTGTGTCGTTTGACCCTTTGATGTTTGACCCTGGGTCGTTTGACCCTTTGTCGGTGAATCATTCTAAAGTTAGAAATAAAATGTATGATGAAAAATTTGAGTAAGTTATTCTAAAGTTGGAAAGTAAGATGTAAAATGTAAAGTTTGAGTAAGATATTCTAAAGTTAGAAATAAGATGTACGATGTAAAGTTTGAGTAAGATATTCTAAAGTTGGAAATAAGATGTAAGATGTGAAATATATATGATTGATGTCCCTAATGTGCTGTTTACTTTATTCCATCAATAATGTAAACATCAACTTTTTCCACAGGTGTAATTTCAAATTATCTCAGTTTAGCATAATCAGTATTCATTGTATACTAAACAATTTGCAGGGATAAATATATTTCATATCCCTACCCTCTCAATAAAAACATTTTTTATTTTAGTTTTTAATCATTAAATAATATCCCTGAGAATGATAATTAACTTTGAGTTGAAAATAAATAAATGTGTTTTGGGAAAAGCATGTTTGAGTCGATCCCATTTAGACACTTTAAAGCTTCTAAAATCATTTGGTCGCAATTGTTGAAATTAAATAAGATATTCCTGTGGTAGTGTTTTCAAAGCAGGGGGCGGGGTAAGTGGGTGGGGACTGGGGTGGGAGTGGTTAATGGGAACCCCAGAGATAGCTCTAGTTCGAGTTCAGACCTACCCGGAGTTAATTTTAGATCAGACATAAACCCGGAGATAATTCTATTCAGAGTTTAGTCTAGACCATATGAAACCTTAGGTTAGTTTAGACCTAGGCCCGGAGATAATTCTAGTTAGAGTTTAATCTGTGGTTTAGTCCTAGACCCGGAGATAATTCTAGTTATCCAATAAACGGGTTGAAAGGGACCTGGAGTACAACTCTTGGATCTTAACCTTGTATCGAATTCCCGGCCACAACTTTTAGAAACCATTTTTCAAATCAGATTCTGTATAATTTTGTCTTTTACCCCCCACCCTTTTTAAACGTAAATATTTTCAGATCTTCAAAGGTTTAATTTTACTCCCTTCAGGTTGAGAATTTCAGTATAAAGTATAACATATTATAGTATCTTGGGTACCCAGCTTCGCCTGGAAACTAAGTTACACCTATATACGGCAAGGGAGGTGGTCATGGTTTAAAGCAATTCGAACATTACGCCCCGCCCCTCATCCTTCTAAGAAAATTGCAATCTCTCCCTATTTACTTTTCGAAAATATTAACTTTATCTTACCTTCTGAACTAGCCCTAGATCGATAATTCCATCCATAAGTCCATTATTCTCCGACTCCGGGTCCTTAAAATACATGATAGCTGAACCCTGGAGTACAAACCAGTGTTTCTGCCAATCCTTCGTCATTCCCTGCTTCATGAGCCAACCCTTCTTCAGGTTCAACAGCTCATGTGGAGAAGGGATTGGGACTGGAGAGTGGAGAGAGGATATTTCTAATCCACAACCGTCCGGGACCCCTCGAACTGGAAGTTCTGAAATATTTCAGTTTAATTTAAAAACGCCAAAATTGTCGAAATCAAATTTAATTTTTTAGCTCAAATGTACTTCAAAAAGGTCTTCTTTAGGTTTTTAAAATCCTAGCAAAGCATATGTAGAACAGCAAACAATAGCGCGCACGTAGATAAAAATATTTTTTAACTCAATCTCAAGTTTTTTCTATTTTTTTGTGGATTTGCAAAATGTTAAAAAGCTATAATTTTTAAACCCTTATCATGTGCAATAATTTGGGGCTGATTCTTTAACCAACTTTTGACCTTGCTTAACTAAGATCAGACAGACATACAAATATAAAATAATAAGAATTTACGAATTGGATAAAAAAAAAATGATGAGCTCTTTAGATTTTCAAGGACTCTCGCAACACACTTGAGACGCCATCATAAAAACATCCAAAATTAATCAAATATCTCTGAACTATAAACTAGAAAGTGCTTGAGATTGTGTCCCCTGTTTCAAGAAGGGAGGAGAGGGGTTATAAAGGCTGTAGTTAAAATATTTAGAAAGATGATAAAAAGAGTAATATACCAGTTGGTAGAGAGTGTTTTTGCTGCCGGGAACTTGAGATTTCCGACCCCTCAGTTCTTGGCCAGGACGGAGAAACGTCAAGGCTAGGACTTTTTATCTCCAGTTCAATTGGTTCGGGTTTAGTCTCGTCCTGCTCTATCCGTAGGATCGGAGTACTGCACGCGGTTGGTTTCGGGGATTCAGGTTTGATCTCCGGGTTCTCTCGCTCCGGACTCTCGGTCTGGTAGCGGTAGAGCTTGCTCCGCCCATAATCCTGACAAGAAGAGAATGTAAATTTCAACATTTTTCAATTTCAAGCTAAATGGGTGTTAAGTGCTAAGGCTTCTATTTTTCTGCCCACTTGCAGATCCTACACAGCTTTAAATCAGTCCCAAATTAATCTTTCTAATGTTTCACACTCCTTACAAAACTTCTGGACTCCAGATTGACTCAATCTTTTAGAAACATGAGTCCTACAACTTGGTATTTACAGAATATAGGGACGCATAGTTTTCTTTAAATGATCTTACAGTGACTGTAGACGTAATTCAAGCGACTTTCCAGTTACAAAATGGAATGTCCGATTCACAACGGTGCAGTCCCATACAGGCTTAGTCTGATCAGAACGGACGAGACGTCCATGTTTTTCTCTATGAAAATTGATCATTTTTGATTGTGGTTTCTCTATAAACGAGACTCCTGTTTTTTTCTGCTGTAATAATGGAAATTGTCAAAATTAATACAACAATATTTTTAACATTTTTGATCAGATAAAGGTTTAAAGGGTACTATTGAGAATTGGGCATTCCCCTCTGTAAATAGAAGTTTACTTCTAATTTAGCCAACAATCCCTTTAAATAGGGGAAATATATCTAACCTGGGGTATTGCGCTCAGGTTCTCGCAAGTATTACTTCTGAGAGACCTGTACGCCCTGGTTCCCTCACCAGGTTTCGCTTTAATCTTCTTAAACCGTCCTGCGCTGGGTAGGATCGGAGAGGAGGGTTCAAGCAAAGGTAAACTTGTATTTATCCTGCTAGAAGCTGGGGCCACCTGGTCTACAACCAGGATTGGTGGCTCCAGGAGGATTGGTTCCGTTACTCCGGGTCCATCTGTTGTATCCGGGATCTCCTCCGGGTCCTTCTCAGTATCACATTTGACCGGAGGGGTTTGCAGGGTGGAGCCGGAGTACTGGGCTCGGTAGGTGGTTGCTACTCCGCCCGGGAAGGTTGCATTTCTCTTAGCTCTTCCAGTTTTAATGGAAGACCTGAAACAAGATTAATTATATATATAACAATGTTTTGTTTGGATGTTAATCGGACAAATCTTTCTAATAATTTATATAAAACTAGCTTGGTAACCCAGCTTTGCCAACCTACTCAACTTAGAATTTTTATATTAAGAAAAGACCGTTCCGTCCCCTCCCCGTAGTTCTCTCGAGTTCCGTCCCCTCCCCGTAGTTCTCTCGAGTTCCGTCCCCTCCCAGTAGTTCTCTCGAGTTCCGTCCCCTCCCCGTAGTTCTCTCGAGTTCCGTCCCCTCCCCGTAGTTCTCTCGAGTTCTCCAATCAAAGCTTGCGTCAAATTTGTCCTGGGGTTCCGAATTATGACAAACAGACAAACAGCAAATATTACTTAAAATATATGAATACAAATACAATTTCAAAATAATATAAAGCCAATGTTTTCGGATAAAATAACAAATTACACTTTTTGCTCGACCTTCAAATACTGGAAAATATATTTCCAACTTGCTTCTGACCCCAAAAACAATGATTTATTGTGTAAGCAGTGTAATTTGACACCATATTTCCCAATCCTAAATCAATTGCAGATTTTTAGAAAAATTTGACCTTTGGATAATAAATTTCCGGGTTTAATGCAGATAAAAAAGACAGGTCAAGTGATGCAGTTGCTATTTTTGTTCACTTCTTTAGATCTTATCTGGATAGTCTATGGTTGTATCAACTAGGTTTATGTTAAACTATTTGAACTATCTGGAGAAAACGAAACCACAATTGTTATTTTACAATAAGAAATAAGTCAAATATTCGGTTTTATATTTTTCTCATGACGTTTGAAATGCAAAGATGGCATTGCCCGATTGACAAAGGTACCTTAGAAACCATTATCTAATGAATGGTGTTGAAGATATAGTCGTTTTTCTAAGTTTTTCAATCAACATGGATATCAAATTCATGCTTGATTAGACAACGCTTCTAAGCGTACTGTTGTAAATTCGGCATTGCCATATTTGCATGGGGTCACTTGAAGTTACTTGAAATTACGTTTACAGTCCCTTTAAATAACTACATAAACAGTATGCTGTTTCTTGGAACGAGTGGATGATAGATAGATATTCATTAATGAAAAGATAAAACACCTCTCCTGACTGATTGGCGTTCCTGCAACTCATTTTGCTTTAGTGTCCCCCCGTCTAAGTCTATTGTAATGTCCTGTCGCAGTGCCTAGTGTCTATTTTAATGTCCTGTCTAGTCTAATCTTATGTCTTTGGCAATTTCCTTTGTAATTTCCCTGTCCTACATAACATAAAAAGATTGTGATTGCTTTCTAACCTTTTTACGTTTTCATAAACACCAAAAGCGTAAAAATAAGTTTGTTCCTAAACCTATTTACAACGGTGCTCTTTAACCCTGAAACTGAGTAACAAGTAGGAACAATGCGTCGAAATCAATTCTGTCTATTCTTTTCCATGTCTTTGCTGTATGCACATAAATCAGAAATTCACTTTTACAGAAAAACCGTTCTCCATATGTTTTGCTGACCAGGTTTGAAGTTACGAAGTTTTAAATTGGAGGGTCACTGGGAATTAAGTTTACAGTTCATTAAATTATGCAATTTTTCCGTAATCTTCTTTTTTTCTCTTTAACTTCCTTAATCTGGTGAAAGAAAAGAAAATTGTAATCTATTATTTAGTATGTTTACTATATAAGCCTAGTCGGTGTAGTGCTGTATAATAAAATACTCAGTGTTTGTTTTTAATAAAAGTCAGGCTTTGAAATGTGATAAGGAGAAGAGAGAATAGAAAACAAGTAAAATTTCATCAGACAGAATCTTGGATAAAAACACAAGAATCCTTCCTACCAATACAATTTAGAAAACAGCTTTCTCCTACCTTTTCTTAATTTCTCTTTTCCTTATTCCCACCTTCCACTTACTCCTACTCCTACCTTTTCTTAATTTCTCTCTTCCTTACTCCCACCTTCCACTTACTCCTACTCCTACCTTTTCTTAATTTATCTTTTCCTTACCTCCACCTTCCACTTACTCCTACTCCTACATTTTCTTAATCCCTCTTTTCCTTTCTCCCACCTTCCACTTACTCCTACTCTTGCCTTCCACTTACTCCTACTCTTGCCTTCCACTTACTCCTACTCTTGCCTTCCACTTACTCCTACTCCTACCTTTTCTTAATTTATCTTTTCCTTACTCCCACCTTCCACTTACTCCTACTCCTACCTTTTCTTAATCCCTCTTTTCCTTTCTCCCACCTTCCACTTACTCCTACTCCTACTTTTTCTTAATCCCTCTTTTCCTTTCTCCCACCTTCCACTTACTCCTAATCCTACCTTTTCTTAATCCCTCTTTTCCTTACTCCTACCTTCTGCTTAATCCTACTAATACCTTCCACCTACACCTACTACTACCTTCCACTTACCCCACCTTCTCTTTACACCTTCCTTTTTTCTACTTTTCTATTAGTTAATTCATAACATTAAATCTTCGAACATTTTCCCTTACTTCCGATAATCCCCGTCATCTTTACTCCTTTCTTCTCCCATTCTATCTTCTCTTTACTTTTCCCTTTCTCCTTACTTTTACCTCCTTTAACTATTAATCTACAAACTTTCTATACTTTCCCCTAATCCCCATTCTTCTAAATTCCTTCCTTCCTTCCCTCTACTCATATCACTCATACCTTCTCTAAATTCGAAATCCGTCCTTCTTCCCCTGATCCCAACTTCTTCTTATTCAATCTTTTACAATATATAAGGGTGAATAAGGAGATATACATTAAACCTCTATTTTCACATATCATCCCTCACCCTTTCTCAATCAAAGTTAAGTTATCTACAATCGATTGCTATTTATATATCAATATCTTTACATATGTCTATGTTTATCTATTCATATATTTACACTTATCTAAATGATGAAAATGTTGTTAACCTTATATAATTATAATCAGCGTTAACTCTGAGCTGCTGAGATATGCAGTTATATATTAAGTTAAACTTGACAATTTTACCCCCCCCCCCCCCTGTCAATGATTAAGGGGGGAGGGGGATCAAAAAAGACAGGGTTGATTGTCTCCGAATCAAAGAAAGAGAAACTACACAGACAGAAATTTATGATGTTTCTAAATTTTGATTCGACTTGATGAGAAACCATCTGGCCTTTTTCACAATTTCTCTTTGCATGGTTTGGAAAATACAGTCATTTAGGAACAGTTCTTCATGAACAGATATTTAGGAACAGTTCTTCATGAACAGATATTTAGGAACAGTTCTTCAAGAACAGATATTTAGGAACAGATATTTAGGAACAGATATTTAGGAACAGATTTTTAGGAACAGTTCTTCAAGAACAGTTATTCAAGAACAGATATTTAGGAACAGATATTTAGGAACAGTTTTTCAAGAACAGATATTTAGGAACAGTTCTTGAAGAAAAGATATTTAGGAACAGATATTTAGGAAAAGTTATACAAGAACGTGTATTTAAGAACATGAACCCCAAGAGGAATGAAAGTATAGAAGAATTAATGCAGAATGTATTGTGCAGGGTTACCATCTATGAAGAAGACTTAAAAGACAGCTGTATGAAATTTATGCAGACTTGGATCCATGCAATGCAACTAAAAACAAAATCTTCATATTTTTACATGAAATGAGTTTGAGTCCTTAAAGACTTATCCTATGTGGGCCCCCCTGTATATTAGGAGGGGAAAGTGTAAGAGTTTAATGCAATAATTGCCGCAGGTCCGCCCGGGATTCTGCAGCGTTCCACAGGGTTCAGTTCTTTCATGTCATTCTTTCATCATCTGGACAAGGAGGGGGGGGGGGAGTGCATTTATGAAATAAATTAAGTTTAAAGAACTCAAATAGAAGCGTTGGATAAGTGGTATTGGTAAATTACACTGATGCGGATTTTCGGGAAAAAGGTAAGAGTTGAAATAATCTTATGTCAATAAAACGCTGCGTTAATGTTCATATTTGAATTCTATGCACAATTAAAACTTTTTTCATATCTTAAAGAGACTGTAGACGTAATGTCAGGGGACTCTCCATCTAAATAGAGTGACATTTCCGATTGAAAGTGGTACCCTTTGAACCTTCGTCTGATTACAACCTTATTTATCTAGCAGAACGTTGATAACCTTAAATTGTGGTATATTTCTATAAAAGACTAGCGGATGTTCACGGTAGAGAGAAGGAATTATACTGTAATTTAAACACGTTTCAAGATTAAAAAACGACTATTTTTTATCATTGTTACTCGAAAAAGGTCTAAAAGGTACCATTGTGAATCGGAAATGAAGACTCTTTTTGGCAATAACCCTACCTCGGAAATATCTGGAGAACCTCGAGCCACCAATTGGATTCCTCTTTACAGGTTCCCTTCACAAAATGAACTCGCTCCGGGGCCGTGATGGCAACACTGAAGGGGTTTCCGGTTATCTCATCTGCCCTCGCCACCTCCATCACCTTGTTCATATCGATGCACGCCTAAAATGGAGAATAGGAAAAGTGCTGTTAACGTAAAATGTCTGTTATAAGGGACTGTAAGCGTAATTTCAAGTGACCCTCCATACAAAGATACAAAGCCCGGTTTGCAACTTAAAATCTTTGTCTGATCAAGTATGAAATAGATAACAATGTTTATATTAGTCAGAAAAACGTTTCATGGGTACCGTTGCGAATCAGGCCTTGCAATTGATGCATAAAGGGTCACTTGAAATCACATTTGCAGTCCCATTAATGAAAGAAAGAAAGCACGCCTTTGGCCGTAAAAAAACAGTGTGGAACATTTATCTAGATGTGGAAATTTCGAAATTCACATTTAAAAACCTTTTAGCAATTTCTTTCAATATTTGCTTGATTCTAAAATAATGTTAGTTATTTCTAAAGTTTTCTGAGATTCTATCTTATAGATTTAGAGATTCTATACAGCGCAACTCACTTTAACCAGTTATAAGGGATCTGTCAATGGTCATTATCGAATTCGATTTTTAATTTGAACTCTCTGTAATTTTCTTTAAAAATATTGTAAACGTTGAGAGTGAAAATTTTAGATATTTCCATCATTGTTTCTAACACAAAGGTTTAAAGAGAGAGGTGCTGTTTATTGCTTGCGTAATATCAGCGCGCATTTTCATCTAATTATAAGATTATGCAAACGTGCAGTACGCAGATTACTGTCTCGCAAAAGAAACACACAGAAAAGGAAATTATTAGATCCTTGACATTTTGATAAAGGCTTTTGAATCTTTTTTGAAAATTGGAAGATATGTAACTTATTCTTGATTTTTTTTTTCTGAAAGCATTTTGTTACTTTTTATATAATTATCTCTTTTTATTTCATCTTACATTGAAAAATAAACGATTTCAAGATTTTAAAGATTCAAAATATTTTAAAAGCTTTGACTTTCATCCTTGTAAGGTTAGTTATTCATATCTCTAGAAAATTTAAATATTTTTTCAAAGGAGAATGTTAAATCTAACTCTGCTTTTAACGTTTTAGCAAAATACTCGGCTAATTGAAAAATATCTTTAAGCAATTTGTATATATACGTAAAATGGAGTTCTAACTCCAACTCAGGAAATTCATTTTTGATATATGTGTTCATCTTTTATTAGATTGGTTAAGATATATTGATATTTAATATGCTGGTCATATAATCATTAAACATTTTAACAGAACTAATTAGAAATTTTGAACAATTTTAATTTTGAAAGAAATTGTAGTCAAAAATTGTAAAAACTGTAATGTCTTCATAAATTTGGAAGTTTTGTAATTTTCAAAACATTGCTGTCTGTCTATTTCGTACCTAAAAAGGACCTGAGTTTTTGCCACAAACTCAAATTTTCTAATCCCTATATCTTAACAACTCAATGTCGTATATCTTGGATATTTTGAAATATAAATTGCATTAAATGAAATAATTAAAGTTTAAAACTTTAAAGATATACACTATTTAGATAAAAGATAAAAATATAGAGTTTTTGGCAAAAATTCATTTTCTTTACCAAGATAATAAATTTTATTCCTGGTGACCAAAAAAGTAAAATCTACGATAAATTCGTCATTTTTAACATTTAAAATGGTGGACCACATTTTAGAGAGAATCTAATTCGTCTTTTACTTCCCAGGTAAATGAGGAAACCCTATTTCTACCTGTGGAATCGTCTCTGGATGATCGTCCACACTGTAGGTCAACTCCCCGTCGTCGTAGAGGACAAACCATCGTCTCTGCCATCTCTTCGTCCTGTAATAAACAGAACTTTTTAAACGCCCTTTAAACACAAATTATATTAATCTATTATTGTAATTTTTTGATCAACCCCTTTAAATACCAGATTATATATTTCTATTATTGTAATTTGTTGATCAACCCCTTTAAATACCAGATTATATATTTCTATTATTGTAATTTGTAGATCAACCCCTTTAAATACCAGATTGTATATATCTATTATTGTAATTTGTAGATCAACCCCTTTAAACACCAGATTATATATTTCTATTATTGTAATTTGTTGATCAACCCCTTTAAATACCAGATTATATATTTCTATTATTGTAATTTGTTGATCAACCCCTTTAAACACCAGATTATATATACCTATTATTGTAATTTGTTGATCAACTCCTTTAAACACCAGATTATATGTTTAAATACATCAAATTCAGTAAATGCTCCACTTGAAACAAATCAGCTGATCTTGTTTATATTATTAATATTCAAACATTTAATAGATGCTACTGAAATATGGAAATCATTTTTATGTAAATAAAATGTAATCTAAACATTTAAAACATGAAACTGCGGCGTAAAAACTTCAATCAAATTATGTTTTAAGAAAGCATAACAATAATGTTTAAATATTATTACGTTCTAAATTTCAATGAATGTACAAAAATGTTGCTTTTTTAGATTTAAAAAATAGTCTCACGCAATCCTAACCTTAACCTATCATTATCCAATTAAACTCAGAAATTCTAGCGGCATTTTAAAAGAAAAAGATTTAAGAGTTTGTTTAAAGTTAAATTTCAGGGGATAAGTAAAATACCACTTCATGTTTTTAGGGATTTAAAATAAACAAAAAACTAGAGTTTAAGGAGTTAAACCTAACAAATAATATAACTAAGTAGTTCTTTTTTAGTTTTGTTTTCATAGATAGATTTTAGTGAAATATTTTACCAAAATGAATGTCTCAGACATTTTAATTTCAATCAAATGTTTTTTAAGAAAACTAAAATACGAGCGACTAAAAACCTAATCAACCTATCCAGAATTCAGATGTCGACAGTTAAGTTGATTAAGGTGTCTAGTTTTTGTTCCAGTTCTTTGTTTTTTGTTCCTTGTATTTCAGTGGATGTAGAAAGATTATGAATATTTCGGAAAAGGGTCAAATGACTAATTTCGGGGATTTTCCTGTTGCACACGCCGGCCCGGCCGGTCGAACTAGAGCATGCAGTTGCAATTCCCGCATTTATTGCCGCGGGGGGGGGGGGGGGGGGGGGGTGAGGTTCCCATAATTAGGGTTGGGCCGGGCCAAGGTTTGGTTTAGTTAAAATGGAACCCAACGCCCCAGGCCTTATGTTTTGAAGCATTCAGCTGAACTTGAAATATTTGATAAAATCTAAATTTTGAGTTTGACGCTAAATGGTGAGCTTGAGGACTCAAGAGGAATATCTTACGCACTTCGGATATTTGAATAGAGTTGGATATCTGTATAGAGTTGGATATCAGTATATAGTTGGATATTAGTTTAGAGTTGGATATCAGTATAGAGTTGGATATCTGTATAGAGTTGGATATCTGTATATTGTAGGATATCTGTATAGAGTTTGATATCAGTATATCTGTATAGAGTTGGATATCAGTATATAGTTGGATATTAGTTTAGAGTTGGATATCAGTATAGAGTTGGATATCTGTATAGAGTTGGATATCTGTATATTGTAGGATATCTGTATAGAGTTTGATATCAGTATATAGTTGGATATTAGTTTAGAGTTGGATGTCAATATAGTTGGATATCAGTATAGAGTTGGATATCAGTATAGAGTTGGATATCAGTATAGAGTTGGATATCAGATAGGGTTGGATATCAGCATTGAGTTGGAAATCAGTATAGTGTTGGATATCAGTATAGAGCAGGATATTAGTATTAGGTTATATTCAGGATAAGGTTGGATATCAGTATATAAAGTTGGATATCAGTATAGTTGGAAATCAGTATAAAGCTGGATATCAGTATATGGTTGGATATCAGTATTAAGTTGGATATCAGTATATGGTTGGATATCAGTATTGAGTTGGATATCAGTATAGTTGGAAATCAGTATAGAGTTGGATATCAGTATAGAGTTGGATATCAGTACATAGTTGAATATCAGTATAGAGTTGGATATTTGTATGTAGTCGGATATCAGTATAGAGTTGGAAATCAGTAAAGGTTTGGATATTTGTATGTAGTCGGATATCAGTATAGAGTTGGATATCAGTAAAGGGTTGGATATCTGTATAAAGTTGGATATCAGTATAGGGTTTGATATCAGTATAGTATACATTTTTTAAACTTTGCACAAGAAAAATATTATCCCTTTCATTAGTTTTTGCTAAAGAAATCCTCAAATCACTTTCTGAGAAAATATCTCAAAAAAAGTATTTAACGAAAGTATTTATCAAATAAACAATTCGCTGTAAAAAATCGGGTTAAGAACATTTATCGGAAATTCAATAAATTTGTTTATTTACGGGGCAAACAGACATTTTAAAACCATTAAACAGCTTTTACAATAAATTTGTTAAAAATTTGAAAATACGAAGATATCTTTATTAACAAACCCAAAATTAAAGTAAAATTACTCAATAAACAATAGGAATGATTCTAGTAACTTGTTAACTTGTAGTTGTTAATTATATTAAACTAAGAATATCAAAATACAAGAACACTGATGGGCATCAGTTTGAGATACGTTTCCAGTCATTTAAGTTTTGACGTTAAAAGTGATTCACAAAAGTGGGAGTTATTAATCACATTGCAAAATTGTATTTTCGATAAGTTTGCTTTTATTACAATATGCGAATTTTATCCTCTGATCAAAGATATCAACCAAGACGAGAAATAGAACACTAAAAACGGTTTTCTTATCGTTTTGAAAAATCATTTTGGTTTATACCTTTAGTCAGAGTAAATATTTTGCATAATGTAATCAACGCAATTTACATCTAAGATTCTTGTGGAGTCTCTTAAAAGGAACTGTAAAGGAAAAATTAAAGTGGGTAGAGGCATAAACCTGAGAATCTCAGGAGTTGATCGAAACCTATAAGACATCTATCTGATGTTCCTGGCTCGACAAACTTTAATATTTAAAAACGGAGTTCAAACGATGCCATCAGAACCCACCAGCAATGTAAAGTGTTCTTGCAAGTGTATCCAGGATGGTAACTCAGAGTTAAAATCTGAACAGAAGGAAAATTGCAAATAGCTGTTTTTATGACTTTTTATACTAAAATAGAATTTTAACATGGTGGAATACAGTTTTTGACTCAACTGTTTCTTTATTTCTTTCATGAACAAATTTTAATTTAAAATTTTGTTTCTTGTTTACTTTAATTATAAACAAACAATAAAAAAGTATTGTGAATATATCACTGCAAACTAGACGTTACTGTTATGACGTTGTGACCTCGTATCTCCTCGTTTTCGCAAGTATCAGAAAAGCAAAGTTATCCGGCCATACATATAAGAAATTCAAAACATTTTCGTCTTCTCAATTTAACACTTCATTAAGAGAAGTTTAAATTGAAAACATGTAAGATTTCTTACATATAAGCATTTTACATTAGTTTGACGTGGAATAAACGAATATGAAAATGTGATTATTAAATAAAGAATAATGAATAAATACTAAGAATTCATATAGTGTTCATAAATAGGGCTGATAAGGTGGTGTAAAAATAAGAGTTAAGGAAAACATGTTTCGAAGATTTTCAAGCTTAAAGCATATTTTTAAAAACCATTCGGAAAAAGAGCATGACATAAAATGTCAACAAAAATAAAGTTACGTCTGATGAACCATTCTCAAAATTAAGTCCTGGGAGGAAAATATTGTCAGTAATTATATGAACCGATGGTTTATTAATTCTATGTAAACTTTATCTTTTTGTCAACAGTGACTTAAATTGATAAAACAATGAATATCTGAAAATAAAACTGTAGATGAAATCTAACTGTGTTTTTCAAACCCTGGAGTAAGATCAGACTGAAATATAACCCTGGGGCTAGTTTACCAGTTGACCGAGGGACCTGGAGAAATGGATAATAACTCCGAACCCTCCTCCTCACCTGTTGATAGGGTTAGAGAAATCCCAGTCAGGAGCAACAAACAAATATCCACACTTGGATATCTTCCGGCTCGCCTTGTTCAGCTCTATGGCGGAGGCGGAGTGATCCTCCTTGAGGCGGAAACAGTTTGAGCACTTGCTCTTGTTGAAGATGTTCGGCGCGAACTTTCTGCACTCCGTGCTCGACATTGTCACACTCACGTACTATTCCCTGTTTATCAATAGTTATTTATAAATAATAATAATTTAACTGAGGTGGCTTGAACTGGTTTTGGCTGGGTTTGAACCCAGCCTGTAAAAATCAATCATGTTAGCCGGGTTGTGTTTACTCCGGGTGTATCTGCATTACTGAGTGTCAGTGAGTGAAGTGAACTGATTCTGAACCTATTTCTCTAGTCTCCTCCTGCGTCTCTACATAGGCTCCAGGTCCTGTACCAGACCCTGCCTATACACACACGGACGCACACTTTGTATACGTACGGACACAAACATACACATACACACACGCATACTTTCATTAGAAGAGAGGTAGAGAAAGTGGTAGCGCTGGACATCCGTATGTGTGAGGATCCAGGACACATCCTTGGTCCAGGATAAATCATTTATCCAGTACAAATCCTTGGTCCAGGATACATCATTTATCCAGGACACATCCTTGGTCCAGAATACATCATTTATCCAGAACACATCCTTGATCCAGGAAAAATCATTTATCCAGGACAACTCCTTGGTCCAGGAAACATCATTTATCCAGGACACATCCTTGGTCCAGGATGCATCATTTATCCAGGATACATCCTTGGTCCAGAATACATCATTTATCCAGGATACATCCTTGGTCCAGGACACATCCTTAGTCCAGGATACATCATTTATCCAGGACACATCCTTGATTCAGGATACATCATTTATCCAGGATACATCCTTAGTCCAGGATACATCATTTATCCAGGACACATCCTTGGTTCAGGATACATCCTAGGGCCAGGATACATCATTTATCCAGGACACATCCTTGGTCCAGGATACATCATTTATCCAGGACACATCCTTGGTCCAGGATACATCATTGGACAGGACACATCCTTGGTCCAGGATACATCATTTATCCAGGATACATAATTTATCCTGGATACATCCTTGGTCCAGGATACATCATTTATTCAGGATACATTCTTGGTCCAGGATACATCATTTATCCAGGACACATCCTTGGTCCAGGATACATCATTTATCCAGGACACATCCTTGGTCCAGGATACATCCTGGGTCCAGGATACATCCTTGGGCCAGGATACATCATTGGTCCAATGTACATCCTGGCTTGGTCCAGGATACATCCTTGGGCCATGATAATCCTTACTCCAGGAATCCTTACTCCAGGGTATATTCTTACTCTAAGATACATCCTTACTTCAGGTTTCATCCTTACTCCAGGATATATCCTTACTCCAGGATATATCCTTACTCCAGGATATATCCATACTCCAGGATATATCCTTACTCCAGGATACATCCTTACTATAGAATTCATCCTTACTCCAGGATACATTAAGATACGTACTACAGGATTCATCCTTTCTACAGAATACATCCATAGGATACTTAATACAGGATACATCCGGCCAAGTCCATACACCCTATACAGTATACACCTATGTAACCTTACACCCATCCCTCCTCTCTCCTCCCTCCTCCGTTCTCCATCCTCCCTATTCCCTTGATTATCTGATATTCTGAAACTAACACATTACAGATATGATAAGAAGTATCTCCAATCCCCCAGCCGGCCCTAGATTTTACCACCCCAAGCACTCCACCCAATACTCTCCAGCCTTTAGTTCTACACCCTTTCTCTATTTATATGTACCATGGGTGTCTCAAGAAAAAAAGATTATTAGGGTTTTTGAAACCTTTTTATCTATTAAGAAGTCTCAATTTTTAGGCTTTTAAAAAAACTTTTAATTCTGAGGGGGGTCCTTTTCATAGTTTCCGATTCGAAGCCTGTTTATATGGTAAAGAGGGTCAGAATATCAAAATCATGTCGGGTCTCAGTTTTGCGTAACAAATCTGAGACATTAGGTTACATATAAAGGCTCCACCCTATTTTCTGGGACACCCTGTATATGTGCTCATTAATACATATTCCCCCTTTTAAGCGGATTTCTATTTTCAGTCTATTATATACATTTAACCCTTCCTTAACTAAATATTCTGAAGATAACTTGGTCCAGGATACATCATTTATCCAGGACACAAATTGCATCACTTCTTGAATAGACCTTAAATATAAACACCCCTCCGCCCTCTCCTTATTATTAAGAATTCAAATATTTTAAATCCCAAACCTCTATATTTTAATTCCCAACCCTGTACTTATTCCACCCAAATTATTTCTTCTCTAAATTTTTATTTTATTGACTCCCAACATTTTACATTTAAAATCCCAATCCATCACTTTTTTACTCCCAAAACGCTGTTTCTATAAAATTAAAGCTATAACTCTCAATTCTTAACATGTTAAGGGGTCTGTAAGCGTAATTCCAAGTGAACCTCCATGTAAAGATGGCAGTGCCTGATTTACAAAGGAACCCTTGAAATCTTAATCTGATAATACATGTTAAGATACCAAGTTTTTTTTAACTTGAAAAGTGTTTAATTCTGATAGATTCTCCATTTCCATAAGCAAGAATTCGCAAGTCAATTTTGCAGAGAAACCGCAAATGAAAAAAGAAAAGTTTAAAGAAACAAAAACATGGATATCTAAATCATACTTTATCAGACAAAGCTTTTAGAACCCTTGTAAATCGGGCATTGCCATCTTTGCATGGATGGTCACTTAAAATTACGCTTACAGTCCCTTTAATTTCCAATTCCGAAGATGTTAACCCCAAACCCCGTGCCTCATTTCACTCCCAACATTCTGAACCCTATATTATAGCTTGTCAACTCCCAACTTTTAGTATTAAGTCCCCCATTGATCACCCCCCTCTCCCCCCCTCTATTTTGTTTTCCTCCGAAACATAAACATATTAAAATAATCCACCCCNTTCTCTAAAACAATTGTGTTTCTTGCATATTTAAGGAATTCCAAATTAATTTAATTTAAGCTTTTGGAGAATTCTGGAGAATATTGTTTCATTATATTTTACTAAACTATTTAAGATTTTTGTTACAAAAAATCTAAAACTTTGCGGAAAGCTGAGATTTAAAATCATATCTGTGGAATTTTTTTATCTTAACTCATTTTAACTAAAAAAAGATCCCCCAAAATAATCTAAACTATTTTTTTCAAAGTTTAACAACTTATTTTCTACAATACAACTTACAAGTAAGATCGAAAAAAATGTTAAAAAATGCTGATTTTCCATTTATAAAAAAATTGGATACTCATGAAATCATTCGAATTATAAACCTGCATCTCTCCTTCATAAAAAAATATCCTGTTTTGCCGATCCCATTGTTTAAGATCATTAAATCCTGCCACTCCTTCTCCTTCTAACTTATAATTTTTTCTTGTTCTCACTTAAAGGGACTAATAGCGACTCTCTATGGAAAGATAGCAATGCCCAATTCACAATGGTACCATTGAAACCTTTATCTTATCAACATGACAACAATGTGGAAGATATTATCTTTTTTTTTAAGTTTAAAAGTATTGGATTCTGATAATTTATATGTTTAATATCTATGATAAGGAATCGAGTCTTTGTAACAAAATCAAATATTTAAATCCCAATATCTTTAGAACCCGGTGGTGTAAACCTTTGATATTTCAAACTCAGATTAACTGATTTAACAGAATTCATAGCATGAAATATCTAAGGTATGCAACATTTGGTTCAAAAGATATAGTGATTAGAAAATCAGAGTTTGTGGCAAAGACTCAATTCCTTTATCAACATTGATATATATTTCATACTTGATCAGACAAAGCTTTTTTCCTAATAAATATATATAAAATTTACGCAACTAGAAATTTTTTCTTAGTAAATGCGTCTTATACTTGTAATTTAAGTAAAGCTTGTTAATTCTCTTCATAACTATCTATCTTTTTATCTATAATCTATCTGTGTATCTAGCAATCTCTATATCTATAATCTATCTGTGTATCTAGCAATCTATATATCTATAATCTATCTATGTATCTAGCAATCTATATATCTAAGTATCTATCAAGTTTCTGTGTATCTATCCATCCTTAACAAGAACAAAAGAAAAAAAGGGAAAAAATTATGTTTAATTTGTCACATTTTGATCAAAAGTCATAGCTCTTGTTGGGATAAGAACCGAACTCACGCTGATCTGGTCAAACAAGATTTTACTGTCGATAACAATTTGGCCGATCGAACATCAATATTTCGTTTTTTCTCTGGCATACTTTTTCGGTGGATGCGTTTTGAATGAGAAATTAGGAATAGCAAACACTGTACAAGTTTAAAGATTTATGAATTATAAACCAAACCGCCATTGAATTCAAATGGAAGAAATCGAACACATCTAGCCGTGGTTAGTACAGGCCCCGGGTGAACTGTCAAATCAGCGTGACCTAGATATTTATTTGATATTAGTCATTTTTTATCTATAGCTGTTTTTGTTTGTTAAAATCATTAAAAACGGAATGCCAAAAATGATTATTTGTTAATTTGTTAAATATCGTTAATTTGTTGAATATTGTGAAATAAAAAATGAATGACTCTAATGAATCTATTGAGGTAATACAAGCTTTTCCGCTTTCCATGAATTCTATGAAATATACTGTAAATACGACACGATTTCCTCAAAATTAAAAAAATGCATTTTAAATCATTCCATTGCAACCAGATTTAATGGTTTGATTTTCTTTAAATTCCGCGCGCAAATCAGACTTGCACAATTTTGGCGGAAAAGTTTACGAAATTATGAAACCAGATGTTATCTAAAATTAAAGCATATTCTCCTGCAAAATTCTTTTAAGAATGTGCAAATTCCTAACCTAGAAAGGAATTGAGTCTTTGCCACAAACTATGATTTTCTAATATAATTGCAAGCCAAAGCCGTAGACCTTAAATATTTCAAACTCTCACTTATGTTAGACCAAATAATCTAAGTTTGAAATATCAAAGGTTTTAATTAAAAGACTCCAAAGTTATTGGGTTTAGAAAATTTGGGTTTGTTGCAAAGACTCAATTCCTTTTCGATTTTTCGAGATAAATCGGCATTTTCTAATTTGCGACGATTAAAAACTACAAATCCTTGGCGACATTTCTCAAGTGAAAACGAAACTTATATTCCAAAGTTTTCGGGTTCTCACTGCATACATTATAAGTCAAGAATTTTTTTTACAAAAAGTTAGGAATACCTGGATTAAAATATATATTTAATAGAG